ATTGAAGTACAGTTGATGTATAATGTTGTGTATTTAATTTCTGGTATACAGCATAGTGGTTCAGTTTATACATATATATATACACACACACACATACATATACATATATATCCCTTTGTCATATTATTTTCCATTATAGGTTATTACAAGCTATTGAATATAGTTCCCTGTGCTCTACAGCAGGACCTTGTTGTTCAACCATCTTTTAAATTTCTCCCGTTATATGTTACCTATCATCTCAGGGAGTTCTGGAAAACAGGAAGACCTCCAAACTGTGGACTTCTTGCTGCACCTTAATTGGAAATCTTCCTTGTGACAGACCCAACAAGTCTATAACCCTCTAGAAGTTTCCAAGGAACAGTTCTTTTGTTTTCAACTTAAATCCACTCCCCATTAGCTCACTCTTTGCTTACGGCACCATCCCGGTCAAACTCCTCCTCAGTCGCTCCCCCAAGAGCAGCCCTGCTGGACCACAACGCGCACCACTTGAACCCCTGTTCACTTTATTTGCCTGGCTGTTTTTGTGGCACTGTCATTACAGTTAGGAGGAGTCCCTCTAGCCGAGGCAACCGTGTCGAGAGGGGGTGGTACAGTCCAGGCTTGGTGCAGATCTTTTTCCTGCTTGGCGTGGCTCCAGTTCTAGTCTTGGTATATCTCCAGCGTGATCAAAAGAATGCAAAGATTCTGCAGGCTCCCACGGGCTGTCTTGTACCCATCTCAAACGGTAAACTCTGCTGCCCACCTCGGGACTGACATCAGCACCTTCTTCAAAGCGCCGCACGTCTCCGTAGGCAGGTATCATATCAGGAGGAGCGTGCACCTGCTCACCTCACCTGTGAGCCCTGTTTTCTAGACTGTCTCTCTGTGGTCCATTAGTCAGCTCTCCTTAATCACAAGGTCTCCTTCTTTTTATTTTCCTAAAATGGAGATATCTCTCTTGTTTTGGCAGATTGTGAAAATATGGCATGTTTGTTTAACAACATAAAGAAGCCTAGAAAGTAGAAAGCATAATTCTTCCCTTTATAAAATGGCTAACATCAATAATATCTCAATAAATCTGGAAAAAAATTTTAAATGACTTAACAGTTTGGGGTTTAAGTTTGAGTTTCATCCTTCCAGGCTTTTAAAATGCGCTTAATATAGATCATGGACAGTTCTACATGGTAGTAGGTTTATAGCTGGAAATCATTCTTTTCAATGGCATTTTCCATAATATGGATATACATTAATTAATTTTTATTATTAAATATTTCAACCATATAGAAAAGTACTGAGAATAATGTAATAAACATTGATGTGCCACTTAGTTATTAGAAAAAAAAAGCACATGGGAATTTAGCATATATTAAATGTGACAGACAGGCACATGAAAAGATGTTTAATATCATCAATTACTAGAGAAATGCAAATCATAACTATGATGAAATATCACCTCACGCCTGTCAGAATGGCCATCATCAAAAAATTTACAAACAACAAATGTTGGTAAGGATGTGGAGAAAAGAGAACCCTTGTGCACTGTTGGTGGGAATGTAAACTGGTGCAGCTACTATCAAAAACAGTATGGAGGTTCCTCAGCAAATTAAAAATAGAACTACCATATGATCCAGCAATTCCACTTCTTTTTCCGAAGAAAACAGAAACACTAATTTGAAAAGATGTATGCACCCCATGTTCATTGTAGCATTGTTTACAATAGCCAAGATGCTAAAGCAATCTAAGTGCTCATCTATAGATGAATAGATAAAGGAGATGTGGTAGACGTACATACAATGGAGTATCATGCAGCCATAAACAAGAATGAAAGCTTGCCATTTGTGACAACATGGATGGACCTAGAAGGTGTCATGCTAAGTGATATACATCAGGCAGAGAAGGACAAATACTGTATATTATCACTTATATGTGGAATATAAAAAACAAATGAACAAAACCAAAACAAATGAGCAAACATAACAAAACAAACAGAGTCATAGACACAGAGAACAAACAGGTGGTTGCCAGAATGCAGGGACTGGGAGGATGAATTAAACAGGTGAGGGAGTTTTAAGAGGTGCATACTCTGAGGTACAAATTAAATGAATCATGGGTATGAAATGTGGAGAAATATAGCCAACAATTATGTAATATCTTTGGTGACTTTTTTTCTTTTATTTCATATCTATATGAGATGATGGGTGTTCACTAAACTTACAGTGGTGATCATTTCGTGATGTAAGTAAGTCCAGTCATGATGCTGGACACCTTAAACACTGATACAGTGCTATATGTGAATTCTGTCTCAATAAAACTGGAAGAAGAAAATTATCAAGAAAGTACAGAGAGTTCCCACATACCCCTCATCTAGTCCCCCCATTATGAATATCTTACATGAGTGTGGTGCATTAATTATCCTTAATGAACCAATATTGATTATTATCAACTAATGTCCATAGCTTATTCAGATTATGTTAGTCTTTAGTCAATGTCCTTTTCTCTTCCAAACGAATTACATCTCATTGTCTTGTCTCTTCAGGCTGCTCTTGGCTGTGACAGTTTCTCAGACGTTCCTTGTTTTGAATGACAGTCACAGTTTTGAAGGGTGCTGGTTGGGTGTTTTGTAGAATGTCACTCTTTTCTAATTTGTACACCTCTTATTTATTCTTACAGCATGAAGCTAGCACATCCAGTGAAATGTCACGTAGAAGTGGTGAGAGCAAGCATTCTTTTTTTTTGTTAATTATTTATTTTTATTGATGTATAGTTGATTTACAACGTCATGTTAGTTTCTAGTGTACATCATAGTGATTCAGTTATCTATCTGTCTATATTCTTTTTCACATTCTTTTTCATTGGAGGTTATTACAAGGTATTGAATATAGTTCCCTGTGCTGTACAGAAGGTCCTTCTTGTTTTTTGCCTTTTGTTTTTAGCTAGAATACCTCTGAAGCTCTCCATTAAGCATTTTGAACTGAGATAAACATATTTGATCATGGTAATGAAATATTATATTCCTATCCTTAGGTAGTATTCCTATCCTGAGGATAGTCAATATTATTTTTCTCAGTGTCTATCTTTGAATTGTTAGGTATGCTTTTGTGTATGTGTGTGTGTGTGTGTCTGTGTCTGTGTCTGTATGTGCGTGCATGTGCACATGCATGTGTTTCAGGCAGGATGTCGGTAATTTTCCAGGAGGCAGGCTGTTTTCACAACCCTCTGACTCTCCTTTTCTACTGCGTGGAGAAAGATTGCCTATTCCAAATTTAAAATTATACAAATCTGCTTCCTCCACTTCTCTGAACCAAATAGGGGCTAGGAGGGCTTCTGACTCGAGTCCTGTTCAGAGCAGCGCCTGCCCCTCACGGCGTCCCCTCCCTTGAGGAAACTCGTGTAGGGCTCCCGAAGGTCTGTCAGTGCCCCATCCTCCCCCCACCCTCTCTTCCCCTTCCCCCACAATTTGTGCCTGATAGAGGCTGCTTTTAGTAGCCCTTACCTGTATTATGGAGTCTGAAAAGTATCTCTCCAGGTTTGATTGAAAATGGAGTTTATGGGGGTTTTAATTCTCTCTTCTTGCTGTTATTTTACAATTTTCCAGAGAAGGCGAAAATGCAGACTTCATACCAAAAGTCTTAATGAAGTCATTTTGGACCCAAAGACCACCCACTCATTTCTGGAACTAGGAGGCATTTCAACTAGTCTTTGAACTCTGTCACACCAAGTCTTATTAGAAACATAATGGGGATTTTGGAGAGAGGATGGTGAACTTTGTGTAGTGAAATAGAAACTTGAATTGCCAGTATAGAGCATTTAATTAAGAGATAAGGAAATTTGCTCATTCACTAAAAAATAATTGAACAACTGCTCTGTACTAGGCATTTTACTAAGCAGTTAGGTGATGATTATTATTGGTGGAGTTAGTCTAATTCATTATTAGAATATTTCCTCTGAACTCAATTTTTTGGGGTGATAAACCAACCTTATCTACTTTAGGATGGGGCTGAAATGAGTCTCAATATATGAAAGCACTTGGTGGATTTCTGATACACTGAAAGGGACATTTGGAGCCATTAAAAGCTTTTAAGGAGTAAAGTATTGTGACCACAAACATGGATAGAGCTTGCGTCTGGTTCATTTGGGCCCAGGAAGCCACTGGCCGATACAGAATACGGGATGTCAGGTGGCTGTGGCATGGCCAAGGGTAGAGTCGGGCTGTGACCATGACAGAGTGGTGTAAGGGACAATACGTCAGGGCTCCACGCAGGCACATTTGGGGAGCAAAGGTGAGACTGACCACTGGAAGCCTCCGAACCAAGAGTCAAATGGGGGTGATGGCCAGAGGGCAATGAATGGTCAGCCCCGATGCAAGACTAGCGCCCTCATTTCCCCCCACCTGAGGTCAATTTCCATTTATATTAGGTGCTCACTTGCTCCCATGTGATCTAGAAGTTTCTGGGTTGTTTTTTTTCATATCTCAATATACCTTTATTTATTATTTTAATTGAAGTAGGGTTGATTTACAGTGTTGTGTTAGTTTCTGGTGTACAGCATAGTGATTCAGTCATGCATATATATATATATATTCTTTTTCAGTATAGGTTATTACAAAGTACTGAATATAGTTCCCTGGGCTATAATGTAGGACCCTGTTGTTTATCTGTTTTATGTATAGTAGTTTGTCTCTGCTAATCCCAGATGCCTAATCTAACCCTCCCCTGGTTTCCCCTTTGGTAATCATAAATTTGTTGTCCATGTCTGTGAGTCTGTTTTGTAAATAAGTTCATTTGTCTCAGTTTTTTACCCACGCTAATCTCCAAGTGTTGCTGTGGTGACAGGATAGCGACTTCTTTCCCCATCCCAAGTGGCGATCTCAACAGTGAGCCCTGCATTCTTTCCCTTGGGCGCATCCAGATCACCTACCACAGGCAGGTCTTGTAGGGAGATGATTAAGTGAGACAGTGGGAGGGTTGGAGGCTCTGGTTCTCACCCCCATCCGGGGACCAAACACAGACACAGCCAGGAGAGACTATACACAAGTTTATTTTATTGTAGTTGATTGGATTTCTATAAAGGCAACATCAGTTTACTCTTTTAAAATCACTTTTCTGGAAAACAAATTTTGGGGAAATGCATTCTTTGTAAACATAAAGCATGCAATAATGTGTAAATTTACAAAAGCATGTTACACTGGTTAACTCAGGTAATAGTTTGCAAAATTGATTTTGTTTTTGGAGAGATGATAGGTGTCCCCAGACTCTGATAAAGTCTTTACTTACTTCTGATTAAGGCTGTGAGTGAGAACAGGGATTTCTCTTAATGGTGTAAAATGATTAGTTACACAATTAAAATGACTTGTAAGAAAAGACTTACCCAACTTTTGAGTCATCCAAAAGTTAAAAACCAGGGCCAATATTTTAAAAGAGAAGATGACACTTTTCACAATTTCATAAATTTCTGAAAGTCATTTTTATGCCACATGAGCAGTAACTTCTCATGGATTATTCTCGCCTCACTTGACGGCAGACACGTCCGCATGATTAAGAAAGCACTGTCATACTTGATTAGGCCTTGTTATTTTTAGCTTTGAAGGTGATGTTTGTAAACAAGTAACAGACCCCAAACAAATGTATCTGGGCCTGTATATTATTTTTTTAATTTGAATAGTCAACTGTTATAATTGGAACATGTCCACAAGCACATGAAACTTTGAATTTCCACAATAATGGTTGGCGTTTTTAATGCTCTGTATTTCATATTTGGAAATCAGACCATGCTAATGCCTTTATATCCTCATACTTGCAATTAGCATTAAAAGTTTGGCTTCTGTTAACAAATAATCCTTTACAATAAAAAAATCAAGATCTAAGTTCATGGGGAAGGGTACAGCTCAGTGGTAGAGCCCATGCTTAGCGTGCACAAGTTTCTGGGTTCATACCTAGTATATCTCCATTAAAAGGAAAAAAAAAGGTCTAAGTTCATTATTTCACTATTCGCTTCTGCATACACTTGGCTTCATGGAATAGATCATGCATCAGATATATTGTTGGAAAAACCCTGGGACAGCATGAAGTTTTCTAGATTGTTTCACAAAAGCTGGAAATTAATTAAAGAAAATGTGCTCATTTTCACAGCAAGAAGTAGCAATTCACTCCACCAGTCAATTCTCTGCAATTCCTTTTGGAGAACCCCGTGAGTTCAGGTTAGAAGAGAATGGTCTTCCCTCTCCAGAATTATCTGTATCCCCAGGGAAACACTGCTCAGGATCCTCCCCAGATCCATGCATCCCTGTAGGAAAGCTTGGTAGAGCAAGGACGCCTTGTTCCAGGTGACTCTGGTCGCCCTGATCTTGTCTGCGGCAGGAGGAAAACTGACTGCAGGGTGAGAAGCCCCGATCTCTGCAGTAGATGGAAGTCTTCTTCCTGGCCCTTGCTCAGGGAACTCTTACTGCAATACAGTTTTAAGGAAGCTCTTAATTCGGGAAGCTTATTAACTCTGCTTTCTGCATTTTCATTTTCTACAGAGCATCGTGGAGATCATGGTCCACCGTGGACTGCGTGTAAGATGAGCTGGGGGTCTCGGGGGAGTAGATCTGGAGGAGCGGACAGTACTGACAGAGCACAAAAGTGCCCCTGCAGGTTTTGAAGAGCTGTACGATGTACTTGCGAAATTTCTCCCCCAGGAAGAAGTAGATGACCGGATTGAGGCAGCAGTGAACAAAAGCCAGGGTCTCTGTGGCCTGGATGGCATAGTCCAGGTGTCTCTCGAAGGTGCAGTCCTGAAGGACCTCCAGCTCCACCAGGGTCTCCAGGAAGAGCACCACGTTGTAAGGGGTCCAGAAACCCAGGAAGAGGACCACCACGGCGAAGATCATCTTCACCGCCTTGTTCTTCTTCTCGTTTTTACAGTGCTGCAGGGTCCTGATGATCATGGAGTAGCAGAACAGCATGATGGCCAGGGGGAGCACCAGCCCGAGGATGTTGATCTCCAGGGAGCTCAGGACCTTCCACCGCGTGGAGTTGAAAGAGTACTTGGTCTTGCAGTAGGTGTGGTTGCGCTCAGTGTAACAGGTGCTGAACAAAAGGCCCGGGAGGGAGGCGAACACCGCCACTGACCACGTGGCCAGGCTGGTGATGACCCCGGACGTCAAGGTCCTCGCTCGCAAGGAGAAGACCGCGTGCACGATGGCCAGGTACCTGTCGATGCTCATGAGCGTGATGAAGAAGATGCCGCTGTAGAAGCCTACCAGGTACATCCAGGAAACCAGCTTGCAGAGGCCGAGCCCGAACACCCACTGGTCCGCAGCGTAGTAGCCCCAGAAGGGGAGTGAGAGCACGAAGAGCAGGTCCGAGATGGCCAGGTTGAGCAGGTACACGTCGGTCATGGACTTGAGCCGCTTGTACTTGAACAGAACCAGAACCACCACAGAATTTCCAAGCAGGCCAAACAGAAAGACCAAGGAGTAGAGCGGCGGCAGGAAGAGCCCCCCAAACGCCTTGATGCCTTCTTTGGTGCAGGGCTTGGGGATGCTCTCGTAGAGGTAATAACTGTTATAGATGCTTTCATCCAGGGTGGTGTCCGCTATATCCGTGGGGTTCATGGTCAGGCTTACAGGCTCCACGAGGCAGGTCCGAGCCCAACCAGACAAACCTAATGAGGGGAGGTGCCAGCAAGGTTTCCATAAGAGCAAGAGCAAATCCAAACGGTTCCGCGCGCAGAGTCCTCGTTCACCGTCCCGCCCTCCCCACCCTTCAAGGGCAGAGTTCTTTGAATTGAAGGGCAGTGCCGTCAAGTGAAATAATCCTGCCCTCTTGGAGCCAGATTCCACATTCCAGCTCTGCCACTATTCTTACCTCTCCGCTAGCAGCTCTGGTTCTCTTATTAAGTGGCGTTAGTAAAACTTCCTTTTCAGGGAGGTGTTTCTCAAGGACATATTGCTAAAAGACAGTCTGGCATTCCTGAAATCACTTGCAGGGATGACAAGACCAGCTGATACCCCCAACACTACTGCACCCAGGGCCTCTCTGTCCAAAAAAGATGAAAAGTCTATGCATGTTTCCCCTTCAGGTTGTAACTCCAAACTTCAGTGATTACTTAGGTCAATCATCAGGCTAGAGGGAACCAGGTTGGCCTCTTGCCTTTATATAGAAATTCTAATTCCTCCTGCAAACTTTGCACTTCAAAGGTTTCAAAGCATGTGCACCGATACCATGCATTTAATCCCAGTCCTGTGCTCCTTGTTCCCATATCCCCTCCATCTGAAGTCTGGTACTCTAAGCTAAATAAGTGTGCTGAGCCATGCTGGAGATGATCTGTGAAAGAGTCAGAGAGGTTAAATGCCGTCCCAAGACCACACAGCTATGGAGAGAACTTGTTCTCCGGGCCCTGAGTCCCAGTGGTGGGCTGGTGAACCAGGTCTGTGAGTGTAGGGAGAGGGGGAGTGTGTGGGGGGGTGCTCTGATACATGGCTTTTGCTGGTTTCTGTGGTGTAAATATTCTTACTGTGGCCAAAGTCAGACCACCAACTGCCTCACAAGAGTCCCAAGATTTAACATTCAGCTCCTGAGCGTTGGTGCAGGCGGGCCCCAGCACACCAACCACACTGCAGCCCCACGTTCGCTGCGGAGCACGCCTGGCCTCCCAGGCTGGGTGGCTGGCTGCTGCAGGGCCAGCGCGACAGGAATGCAGCAAGTGTGTTTTCAAGGCCCTACAGCAGTTTGCGGTATTGAGATGGGTAAGCTGAGGGAAATTATTGGTCTTGTCCATCAAAATTGCATATAAGAGTCAACCTCATGCACTGAACCCCGGCAGAGTAGGAATTAGCAGGACAAACCTAGAAAAGGCACATCGTAGCCAGAAGTAAGTCTTTGCCTTCCCAACCACCCTGGTTTCCTATCAAAATTGGCAGATGAAGAGGTTAAAACCTTAAACTTATACAGGTATTCACAGGTGAATCAGAGCAATTCAGGGATGAGGGTTCAGACAAGGCCGCCTCCTCCGCATTCTCCTTAACGGCACCCTGCTATTCCTGAGTAAAGCCCTTTCCACGTTGTTTGGTAATTCACACCTCCTCCCCATCTCCCACCCTCACCACCACACGACCAAACACCCAAACTGTGTGTTTCTCCACAGAGAGGTTCTGATTTATTCCTGCCAATGGATGGTGAAGACCTGGCGCACCGCACGGTCTCCAAAGAACCCAAAACCAAAACCCCAAAACTGTGTTAAATGATTATCAGTTCTACTTAAATAACCATTCTAGTCCTTCTCCCCCGTTTTACCAGCAAACGTGAAAGCAGTAAGAGAGGCCAGCGGTAGGAAATTATCAGAAGCAAAAGTAAACACAGCTGGTAAATGTCTGGAATTACTCTACAGGCCTTATTTGCCAGGTGTTTCTGGACCTGGGAGTTTTGATAGAAGCAAGAAGAGAAGTGCATATGTTTAGTGAAAATCATCTGTGTGTTCTGAGCGTGGGGCTCAGGCCGGGCATGTGCAGGAGGAGAGCCTGTATCTGTGTGAGCCGGTGAGTGAGGGCCCTGAGGATGTGGGTGCAGGTAGGTTGTGTCTGTGTGTGCCGTGAGACACATGCCAGCGAGAGTGACCACCGGCGTGGCCAGGGTGCCTGAGTGATGGGCTGGCTGCGTGGCTGGGCAGCTTCCAGCGCTTCCCAAGTCCATGCACGTGTGGACAAAGCCATGATGGCCCGAGGCCCCGGGAACACCGCACCCCACTTACCTTGCTTTTCTGAAAGCGGCTCCGAGGAGGGTCACCGAGGCAGTGCCAGGCTGGTTCCCGGCGCGTAATGCTAAGAGAGACAGGTGCCTTTGAAGGGCGCGTGGCTTCCTGTGAGCACCGACTCTATCCCTCACCCATCTACTCTGAGTTCAAGTGGGGTTTTTTTTTTTCTTGTTAGAAGCAGCAGAAAATGAGTGACTTAGCTTGGGTTCAGCTTAAACTCTTAGTCACTCATTTCCCAAAATTGAAAGCTAGGAAATTTTGCTGTCTACATGATTAGAGAAGTAAGCTTTTAAATAGAGAAACTTTTTTTAAACGTTTTGGTTGGATTTTTTTAAAAAATTCTTTCTTTATTTTAATGGTAGTCCTGGGGATTGAACTTGGACCTCGTGCTCACTAAACACACACTCCACCACCAAGCTATACCCTCCCCTGGCCCTGGTTGGATTTCTAATTTAATTTTTTTTCCTTTTAGCCAGCTAGGTGCAATAGAAGTGAGCTCTGTATTCTGGATGCGTGGGCTGTTTGTTACTGCCCCATCATGGAGGGACAGTGGCCAGCAATCAAGATGTTCGATGTTCTCAAATATGTCCTCACATATGTGATATCTGAGGAGGCCAGAGTGAGAGGCTTACCCGAGAGTAAGGACAGTCAGGAGCAGAAGAGAGAAAAATGGATCCAGGTGTGTGTGTGGCAGGGATGTGGAGACCACATTCAGTAACTGAGTCCTCAGTCTGGTGTAAAGTGACAGGACAACACAGCTTCCAGCCCCTCTCACCACAGGGAGGCCCCTCTCCCAAGCCGCTTCCACTTAGAAACGGTGGCGCTTCCCCTGACAGTGATCTTGGCTGAAAGCTGTTTTGGGGTCCTGTGCCAATCGTAGCCAAGCGGCTAACAGCAGTGCTAAGTCTCTTGTGTATGGTATCCTCAGCTTCTGCCAGCTCCCAGCTGTTTGCTTCTGTGTCTCCAGTTGCTTGACTCCGGTTGCGCTTAAAAGAGCCACGTCTGTCATTTTTCCTGGGGCATTTACATGAATAAGAACTGAAAAGCTGAGCTAGAGCATGTTTAACATCACTTCTCCTAAAGAGTCTTTTCAGATGTTATTTTTTCCCTAATCACCTCCCGAAGAAATTTTAATACCACAGATCAACTGTAAATCTGCATATATATAACATTTACATATAAAAGTAGTATTTGTTTAGGGTTGGGGGAGTTGCTTCTGGCTTCTAATGGGAAGAGGCCAGAAATGCTGCTAAAATCCTCCCTGGCACAGGACAACCCTCCACAACAGAGTCCTCCAGCCCAGGATGCCAGCAGTGCTGAGGCGGAGGACCCTGAGCTAGAGCACTGCTCTCTGTGTGCACCGTGCAGCCAGACTCAGAGAGCCCATGGTGAAGAGATGGAGATCTGTGGTCAGACAAGCTTCGGGAATGCCGGGCTTGGGCTCCTCTTAAACACAGGCCCTTGCTGCGCAGCTTTCCAGTGCTAATATTATCATGAACTCTGGAAGCAGATATAAAGATGTCCCAGATATATTTTGTTGCCAGAGCTTACACCAGATCCTTGTTCAAAACCCAACCACCTCTCCCTTGAACAGAAACTAATGTATATCTAAGTCATCACAGGGTCCAGAGACAAAAGGAGGAAGCTGTAGGAAATGGAAAACCAAACCCAGCTGGAACCAAGAATAATCTGACCTCCAGGAGCCCGAGTCTCCTTCTATGCTGGTTTTACTTCAGCAGCTACTAAACGACACACCTGCCCATGGCCGTGACCCGCAGCGGTGCCACCTGGGCAAGAAGCTGATCTGTGAACTAAGTTCCTGCTCCTCCATCCTCTGGCCATTGAATAAAGCTTACACTGCGTGGATCTCAGCTTCCGGTTTTTGGCTGCGTGAACTGAAACACAAAAGAACCTTCCCCAGAGGCAGGATCCTGAGCAGGGGTCCACACTGACCTAAACTGGTAGTTATTTGACCAGTGAATCTATGCCCATTGTATAGAGCAACATATTGTTGAAATGAGGAGTCTGAAGAAGGTTCTACTGTGGAATTGGAGGCCTTGAGGGACGAGTTGCCCTGGGCAAGCCAATCTGAGAAACGTTGCCTTAAGTCTCCCTGTTCCCTGGATGGGGACCAGTGGTAAGGTTCCAGAACTCTAGAATGGTTGATATCTAGAGGTCCAAATCGTCATCAGTGGTCCTCAGTCACTGTGGGTCTGGAGATGGTCCCTTATAGCCAGTTGGGCTCCCGTGACTGACTGACCACAGGGACAGGCACTTACCCCAGGAGTGGGGGGAGCCCAAGCTCCAGGGTCCATGTTGGCTGAGAGCTGTTGCTTTGAAGACTGCTCAGTCCAGGTTTGGATCTCAGTGCCACCACTTACGAGCTACGTGAAGCTCAATTTTCTCATCTGTCAAAAAGGGTGATAATGCCCGAGGGTCGTGGGAGGATTAACGAGCTGAAGTTTGTAAAGCATTCAGCATGATGCCTGATACAGACAGGTGCTCAAAACGGCCCTAGCTGTGAAAATTCGTAGGTTAAATAAAATGCACAGGTTTTGAAGTGGCTGAGCCTTGGCATGTTGTGCTTAGCCGTAACTAGGAATCCAGGAGATCTTTCAGCTTAGACTCACTGGGCCACATTCAATTTCTGAGCCAGTGTACAGGTTAAAAGCAGGTTTCAGGTTTGCAAGTTGCAAAGGTTACTGCCCTGGAGAAAGTCTACAGGTTTGCAAAGTAATGATGATACTGTCCTGGAGAAACACTAAATAGGTTTTCTCTCCATTAAGGGTTTCAAAACTAAACAATATCCCCACCCACCAAATGAAAAAAAAAAGAAGGATCAAATTTTTAGTAATGCCTATTACGCCCATTTCATAGCTAGGTAAATAAGAACCCAGAACGGAGAGGTGGTTTGCTTAAGGCAGTACATTCAGAGACACATGACAAATATTTACACTCCTGACATTTTCATGGACACCAACTTTCACTGGGCTGAGTTTCTGAAACTTGACCAGAGAGAAGGTGACCAACAAAAAACACAGGGAGCAAACCCTCTCCCAAAGCAAGGGGGTACGCTGCACAGCACAGACCTTCATCAAGCAGCAAAGCAACAGCGTGAGACTGCAGCGCCCCCTGGTGTACCGAGCCTTATTTCAACACCAAAGACAAAGTTCGATCCCCAGGCCACAGGTACTGTATCAACCCACTGCACCAGCATAACTGACAGTGGAAGCCATAACTCCCAAGGCCTTCAGGAAGAGCTTCACGGGACTCAGCTGGTCATAAAACATCCAGGATTTGGTGTCAGACCTGTTACTTACAGCTTAAAATGAGAGAAGCCAGCCAGGCAGGGCCACACCGCCGGTTGGACCCAAGGACAGAGTTAACCAGCCAGACCTAGAGTAGTGAGTGATTCCAGAGCACCTACAGGAGGCTAAGAGGGGAAGTGACTGGGGTGTGGACCTAACTCCTCAAAAATGGGAGCTGACTGGTCTCCAGCCAGGGCCTCAATACTGGGATAAGAATGCATTTGAACAATGTTACAGGGGAGTTCTCAATAAACAGACAAAACTTTGGAAAGGAAATAGAAGACTGCAAACAAATTACAAAAAAATTTTTTAGATAACTAAAAACTCCTGCACATTTGAAAACTAGAAAACACATTTTCATGTAACCTGGATATCAAAGAAAATATTACAGAAAATAAGAAACACTTATAACTGAATGATAATAAAATATCAGTTATCCAAAATTGTGGTAGGCAGCTAAAGAGGCCCTGAGAAGATAATTTAGACCTTAAATATTTATACTAGAAGAGAAAAAAGGCTAAAAATTAATGAAGAACTGTTTAACTAGAGAAAGAAACAGTAGAAAAAGAAATAGTAGAATAACCTCAAAAAGTGTGTAAGGAAACAAATAATAAACACAAGGGCAGAAAGTAACTAAACAGAATTGAATGTAAAAGAGACCCATAAAACTATCTGAAAACACTAACAAAATTGACAAACCTCTAAAAAGATAAGTAAGGAAAAAAAGGAAACCATCTTGGGAATGTAAAGGGAGAAATAAATACAGAGCAGAGATTAAAAAGATAATAAATATTGTGAATGATTTTATCACAATAAATTTGAAAACTTAGATGAAATGGACAAATTCCTAGAAAATATGTCTTTCCAAAATTGGCTCAAAAAAATGTAAAACCTGACATAACATTTTAAAAAATTGAATCAGTAGTTTAAATGCACAAAAACAAAGTAAAAAAAGCTCAGGACCGATGGTTTCCACAGAAAAATTCTACCAAACATTCAAGGTACATATAATTCTAATTTCATGAATCTTTTTCCATGAATCCCCAGAAATACAAAAATACAGAAAACTCCTGAACTCATTTTATGAAGTTAGTATAACCCTAATAATAAACCAAACAGTATGAAAAAATAAAATTACTCAATTTCACTCAAAAATATAGATACAAATATCCTAAATAAAACAGTAATTAACCAAATTTAATAAAGGTAAAAAAATACGTAATTTCAGAAATGCAAAGTTGGTTTAGTATCAGAATCTATTAATGCAATCACCATGTTAGCAGAACAAAAGAGAAGCTCTCTGACACAGAGCATTGAATAAGAAAAACAATAATCATGATTTGAAAAAAGAAAAGAACATAAGGGAGCTTCCTTAAATTGATAAAGGTATCTACAAAAAAAAGTCTTCAAACATACTGTTTAACTTTAAATAGCAAAAGTTATTCCTTTTAAAATCAACCATGACTAGAATGCCCACCAGCACCTATTCTATTAGAGCTGGCAGAAAAAGAATTAAAAATAAAATGTAATGGGTTAAGCAAAGTTGCAGGATACAAAATCAATACACAAAAATCAGTTGCTCTTCCACACACTAACAATGAACAACTTGAAAAAAGTAAGGAAAAAACTTCCAGTTAGAATAGCATCTTTAGTGGAAAGAGACATATACTGTCCTGGAGTTGCTGCACATCAGTTCATAGAAATCAGCTTCGTTTTTTAATAACTGCATGGTATTCCACTGAATGGCTGCACAGTTTAGTCATCTAATTTCCTGTGAGCAGGCATTTAGGTTGTTTCCAATATTTTGCGATTACAAATAACATCACTGTGTGAATGTTATTTTTATACTGTCAGACATGTATCTTTGGGGTAAGTTCCTTGGTATGTGATTACTGAGTCAGTAGTTTTATTGAATACTGTGCATTTCCCTTGCTAGAGGTAGTACTGTTTGGCACTCCCAGGAGCAGTGCATGAAAACACCTGTTTCCCCATCACTTCTCCAACAAAGTGCATTGTCAAGCTTTTGAATTTTTTCAAATAGGGAGAAATAGTATCTTGGTGTAATTTTAATTTGCATTTCTCCCTGAGGAAAAGTGAGCATATTTACGTTCAAGGGCTATTTTTATATTGTTTTATTTGTCTGTTCCTGTCTTTTGCCTATTTATTTATTTTCCACAGGGCTGTTGGTTCCCCAAAACTATTTTAAGAGTTCTTCAAATATTAGGGATATCTGTTCTTTATCAGTGATACAACTATTTCCTCTCAAACTTTTTGTTTGCCTTTTGGCTTTGCTGATGGTGCTTTTTGTCATCATGCGTTTTTCCCCCAACTACTTTTAAATTTTAATTAAAAATTTTTTTTTATAATGGAGGTACTAGGAATTGAATCCAGGACCTCGTGCGTGCTAGGCATGCACTTTACCACTGAGCTATATCCACCCCCTTCCTAATTATTTTTATGTACTTGAATTTAAAATTTCTTTCATTGCATATGGATTGAATTAAAGTTAAAAAGACTTTCCCCACTCAGATATAAAAGAATTTTTATTTTCTTTTAGTTATTTGTATGGTTTCATACTTTACATTTAGGTCTGCTGCATTTGGAGTTCGTTTTTGTGACTGATGTTAGGTATGGATCTAATTTTATCTTTACAAATAGCAGTTGGTCTAATACTGTTCATTATATATATGGATAACTTAACTTTTTTTGGGGGGGGTAGAAACAAGCATACAAGGCAGTAGGCTTTTCCGAAGTGGTCTAATTACACTCGTACATTTAGAGCAGATAGCTAAAAATGCTTGCCTGAATAATCATGGAGCTAGTACTTAAGAAATTAATGTAAACTAAAATTCCAAAACAAAAAAAGGGCAATCACCAAAAATAAAATAAAATAGAATTCCTTCCCTGGTGGCTATTAAAACTTACATTTGTGTGGCACTTTACAGTTTAGAAAGCACCCCCACATCCTCAATCTCATTTACCCCATTTGTAACTATACCCAAGCAGGCTGTCTTTGACACTACGCAGGATAAAGCCCATTTAAGGGAGGAGGTGGTGGCTAAGATGCTCAGATATCTTGCAAGGTGGGGCTCGGTTAGGACTGCTTTGCTTGAAGGTTAACAATTTTCTCAAAATAGTGAGCATCTAAGGCAGTTAAGGAGCAGCAAGAGTTTTGGGAGTGCAGCAAAAGATGTGGCCATCACTTACCCCCTTAATAGCATTTCCCTTCTGAACTTGGAAGGACCAGGGCGCACACACACGAAACACAGAACAGGAAACTAACCTAGTTAACCATGGTAAAGTTATAGCATTACAGATAAAACACACTTTAATAGAAAATGCTTGGAAGAGTCACATTCTACAGGATGTGAACCAAAATTTCTGAACCAAAGCCTTGTTTTAAATTCAAAGCCAACATGGGGCAAAATCAAATGACTCATCTGGCTACTGGATTGTAACAGCAGGTCTCAGAGTGTGACAACAGGACCCCGGGAGGTCTTGAGAACTGCAGGGACTCTGAGGCCAAAACTATTCTCATGTTACTACTAAGAAGTCACTTGCCTCTTTCACTGTGTGAACATTTGTTTGCACGGCCGGTGGAGTAAAACTGCTAGCCTTCTACCACAAAGCAAGGCAGTGGCACCAAACTGAATTTGTAGTCACTGGGGGAAAATGCAAATCCAAGTTTACTTGAGAATTCCCTTGATGAAGTAAAAATTAATTTCATCATGTGGCAACCATTCAGCATCAGTTCTTCTAAAATGCTGTGCGGAACTGGGAAGTGCACACATACCACTTGGGCTGCATACTGGAGTGTTTCTGTGCTCCGGACTTAGAAGTTGAACTAGCCACCTTTCCCACCACGCTTACCTGAAAGAACTTACAGACCAACCGGTTTTCAGTCATATGTGGCAGACATTTTCTCAAAAATGAATGAAGTGAACCTGTCAGTACAAGGAATGTAACTGACAGTATTTGTTGCGTTAATAGAATTTGACCTTCCCAGAAAAAATTAGTATCTTGGAAAATTTGTATCCGTCACTGAGCCTAATGGCTTCCCACCAGTTAAACTTAGAATTTCCAATATGATCAGTAACAATACTAAAAATACGTGATTTGGGGAGACATTACAACGAGCCATGCCAATATTTGGAAGCACCTTGTAACTCAGTGAACTATTATTTTCTAAATCCAGTGAATACAGTTACAAAATCACAGAGGGGTAAAGAGCCGTTCAAAGTGCAAGACAGACCAATGGATTCCACACTGCAATTAACCTTTAAAAGACGAACACTTGCAAGTTTTAGCATCAAAAAAGAAAATTCACAATTATCTGGAAGAGCTATTAAAATACTCATACCTTTTCTGCCTGTGTATTTGTGAGGCTGGATTTTCTTCATGGAATTCAACCAAACAACACAGTACATCAAATGGAATACAGCAGATGAGAGAATCTGTTTTCCACTAAGCCAGATATTAAAGAGTTTGTGAGAATGTAAAACAATGGCACTCTTCTATGTATGTTTTTTTAGTTTTGTAAAGTTGTTTTCCATAAAAACTTATGTTAACATGTAATGGATTTACTGTTGTTATTTATAAATGAGTATTTTATTATTTTTATTTATCATATGGCAAATATAGATATGTGACCCATAATAATGGTAATTCTTTGGGGTCCTTAGTAAGTACAAATGTAAAGGAGTCATGACCAAAAAAACCTGAGAATCACTGTAGTTGAATTTTAGAAAAAAATCTTAGCCTTAAGGTAAGATTGTTAAAGACAGAACTGTCACCAACTAATTCTAAAAAGATTCTGGTGATACAATGAGATCAAGTTCATAATCAAGGTAAATGAATGTGTGTGAACCTCTCTCTATGTATATATATATACACATATAATCATATTTTGAGAAACTGGAAATGTTTTGTTGCTATTTCTCAAAGTAGAACTATCTCCATCTATTCTCTAATTATCTGATTGAGAAATAACTTAAAACATCCTTGAATTTCATGTACCTCTTCACATTAATTACTTCGTGTGTTCTTTATATGTGTGGATTACAATTTTTCCTATAATTCTCTAAAATGATCACGATCACAGGATAAATCTTACCCGTACACTGAGAATTCCCTCATGTCTATGACGAGGAGTTAACTATTTGGTAAGGACATTAATAAGGTGTTACATGAAGGAAGAATTCCCACAGTCTGGCATTTTGCCAGTTTAAAAAGCAAGTACTTTCTCTATTAAAAAAAAAAAAAAAAAGAAAGCCCACAGAAGAACACTGTAATGGATATTACCATTTTGGCTGTTCTTAAGTTCCACAACAGGCCTTAAGAATTAATACTGATAGTTTTAAAGAAAGAAAATTGACAAGTATATCTGTCTTACAAAGAATACAAGAGGGAATACTTCCCAACTTGATTTATGATGTTAACATAATCTTGATATCAAATGCTGACAAAAACATTATGAGAAATGAAAACTACAGGCCAATTTTTCTCAGGAGTAATACAAAATCCTAACAGAATACTAGCAAACCAAATCCAGCAATATAATAAAACTAATACATCAAGATCAAATTAAATTTATTTCAAGAATACAAAGT